AACCTTCAGCTTCCTGAGTCAGGGCTGGGTGTTCAGCACACTTTGAAATAACCTCTTAGATTTTTTTTTTCCTTTGACTCCCCAAAGGGCGTTTGGTTGTTTATCCCCCTCCCCCGAAATAGACATACTGATAAACAAATGAAAGAAGACATTAAATTTTTGGAACTAAAATTAATGGAAAAATCCCAGATAATGCAAAACAGCTGGTAAATTAAAACACATTTAAGCACAGTTTGGGAAAGAACAGATTTTTCTTCCTAATTGTTTTTGTTGGTTTGCTTGTTAAGATTCTTGCATTCCCAAAGTGGAGACTCAAATTAGAACTGGTGTCAGGAAGAAGCCAGACTAGTCTTTGAAATTTATTTCAAATATCCTCAGAGAGGACAGCTTCATAAACATCAATATTTAGCTCCTAAGATGCCAAATAATGTTCAGAGCTATTAAAAAATTGGTTTGGCTTTGTGCCTTCTCTTGTAGGTCCTTCCATTGTGACGCCACCCAAGGACATCTGGAATGTCACTGGTGCCCAGGTGTACTTGAGCTGTGAGGTCATCGGAATCCCAACCCCTGTTCTCATCTGGAACAAGGTCAGTGGCACAGATTTCTGGAAGATCCTAGGGTAACAAACTTATCTCACACTGCCCAGGGACCATAGCCATGTGAAATCCTCTACAGGCCCATTCCCTGCTATTTCTTCAGAGTGCAGAACACAGCAGCCTGAGACAGCGAATATTTTACTGACCTCCACAACAGGCCCTGCCCTACTTTTGCTAGGGAGCCTGAGAAACCAGAAAAACAACAACACTGAGCACCTTGACCTACCCCGTCTGTGTGTATGCGTGTGTTTGCACGCAGGGGAGACGGCAGCATAATGGTTAAGAGTGTGAATTCCTCTCTTTCTGCCCAAAAGTGGATCCACCAACTATTTGCCAAAGCATCAGTCTCCTCACTTAAGACTGAGGTCCCCAACATTTGACTCCTTTGGATCCTGTCTGCTGAGAGACCTTGTTCACATTCTATAAGGAGGAGGTCAGGGGTCTGGCCAAGAAGTTAAAGGAAGCTTTGTGAGCCTGCATTATTCTTAACAGATTCCCACATGTTGGAAAATAGGATGAGTAAATGTTAAGGACATGGGAGTGGGTGGAAGGAGTGAGGTGCCACGGGGTCCTGTTAGAGACAGGAGAGTCTATTCCAGAACAGAGCATTTAAAAAAGAACAAGGGAGGAACATCAAAGGAAAGATTTTTCTCCTATTTGAATTTTGCTGAATGCTACTTGCAAGTGGAAAACCATGATATTTTTAACAAATAAGCTTTAAAAAGACTTTCCAAATGGAAAAATAAAGAATGTGAGTTCTTCCACCAGGTCAGCCGGGTTCTTTATAAGCCAGGGTTTCTCAGCCTCAGCACTATTGCAATTTAGGGACAGATAATTCTTTGTTGTGCGGGCTGCCTGTGCTTTGGAAGATGTTTAGCAGCATCCCTGACCTGAACCCACTAAATATCAATAGCACCCTTCCACTGTCCTCATGTGACAATTAAAAATATCTCCTTTGGGGCTGGGGATGTGGTTCAAGTGGTAGCGCGCCCGCCTAGCATGCGTGAGGCACTGGATTCGATTCTCAGCACCCACATAAAAATAAAATATATTGTCCACCTAAAACGAAAAAATAAATATTAAAAAAAAAATCTCCTAACATTGCCAAATGTACCCTGGGGGGAAAACTTCACCCCAGATTGAAAAACGCTATTGTGGGCTGGGGGTGTTAGCTCAGTGCTTCCCTAGCATGCGTGAGGCCCTGGGTTCCACCTCTGGTACCCACCTCTGGTACCACAGCCAGGCAGGACAAAACCCAGAGGAAAGAAAGGGTTTGCCCTGCTGCAATGCAAAAATCCCTCTGTAAGCGTTTGAACAGGTCGGGTCACCTGCCAGCCTCTGGCGCCCCCACGTGGCCACAAGAATGTGGCCACCGAGAAAGCACCTGGTTTGAGTAGAGTCCCAGTAGAGATAACAGAAAATGCCTGAGGCCGAGGGGTGGGTAGACAACACCAGCTGTACTACACTGCCCTTTACAGCTGAAACTCCTGTTTTAGGAAGCAATGAAATTTAACCTCAATTTAAAAAAATCTGTTTTTAAAAGGAGGGTATTAAGAGAAGAAACGCAGCCCCAATGTGTTCCTTTGCCTCTACTGCACAAGCTGCCGACATTCCTCATTACTTATTTGGATCTCACTGGTTTGCCCTGTGGGTGGAGAGGTGGATTCCCAAAGTGTGAAGGGAATTCCCATAAAAAGCTCTGTTGCAGTTTTCTACAGCTCCCTAGGGATAGTTACACAAGAGAAACCAGAGTGCCCGAGTATCCTGGGGCATAGAATCCTATTGCCAAATCTTGTCAGAGAGTAATATCTTCAGTCCTTGCTCTGCCATGCCCCAGCTATCATGCACACGTACCAGGGAACAATTTGCCTTGGAACTGTATGGGACAGATCGATGGAGAGGGCTGAGTGAAGGGAAGGGAAGGAGTAAAGGTAGGTAGACGGAAAAACATACAAAATACGTTTTCTCAAATCTTGCTAGAAAGGAGCAAAAGCCCAACCATAACGCTCCACTGATTTCCTTTGCCTTCATGATGTGAGGTCACTTGCATGACCTAAAGCAAAAGCTTTCAAACTGCAGACCATGACTCACATTAGTGAGTCCTGGAATTGGTGCAGGGATCACAACCAGCATTTTCTTATTTAAAAAAAAATAAAATAAAGACAAAGAGTACAGAAAATATGTTAGGGCATATTAAGGTATTTTTTGGTAAAACTTTCCTATATCCCAAATGACCAGGTGAAAAGTACTTCTTCTTTAGGCCATGGCAAAAACTGAGGAAGTCACTGACCTAGATAATCAAACAGGCATTTGTTTCTCTCCGCTCTCCTGAAACCAGGCCATGAAGAATACAGACAGATTTAAGATCATATATTATTTCAAATCCAATTTAAGCACAGAATTCTTTGGATAGAAGTGAACGTTAGAATCCTTACTTATTAAACAATGCACCTGACTCAGAGACGGCAGTGTTCTTTGTGACTCAAGGATTTAGCAGCAGCAGTACTAGGGGACACAAATGACTTCTCTCTAAGCCATAGGAGGCTGCAGCAGCAATTTTTGTGGGGGTCCCAGCCCGGTGAGTGGGCTGTTTTGATCATTCCTGCCATTAACCATTCTGCACCTTCTCAGCAAACCCATGAGCAATATTTTTAAATGGGGACATGAACTGAAATAGCCATATATGACCAGACTTATCTGTAAGTCTGAGATAATGCAATGAAATTTAACTTCTTCCAGACATGGAGGTTTCTAAGAGGCTGTCCATTTAATTCTTTTCCTGTCTGGACATTTCTTTAGATTATGGCTTGAATAGCCTCTAAGAATGTTGTTGGTTTTTTTTTAATTAAACACAGTGATAATGATAAGAGAGGAAATATCCAAAGATATATAAAGAAAGATTTCATAATCCCTCCTCTGCTGACCCCTGAAATAAATACCCAATGTGAACTGCCCTGGTTTGTGCCCTTCTCTTCCCCTTTTCAAACATACAAAAACATACCCCCTAGCATGAGCGGTAAAATGAAAACAGTCTGCTAATAGATTCGTTTGGATTTGCTTTTCTCAATAAATACTTCATGGACATCCCTTAAGCCTTCTTCTCAGTAGCTATAATATTCCACAGATGGAGGGGCCATGATTTATTAAACCATTCCTGTATTGTTTTCATTTTTTTTTTTTTTTACATCTTAAGCAATGTTCCCTTAACATCTTAGTACACATCTCCTATACACTATTGCTTCCATTTCCTTAGGGTAGATGCCCCCAAAGCTACAGGACTAGGTCAAACTACCTGTGTTCGTCTTAATAGACATTGTCCAATTACTATCTAAGGATGGCAGTAAGTCACTCTCACCAGCAGTGTGTGTGGGGGGGTGCCATTTCCCTGCAGCCACCCAGAACTGAATAACTCCCTTTTCAGTTGGGTTAATACATCTCATTATTGCTTTCATCTTCTTGACTACATTAAGAAGATTTTCATGTCTGGGTTTTCTCATCTCTGAACCACCCTCTCATTTGCCTTTTGCCCACTTTATATTGCAGTGTTCCTTGTTACAATCAGCCTGTGGCTTTTTTACATTTAAGATGTTGACCCTTGATCATGTATTACAAATTTTTTTTTCCCAGACAGCTGTTTCATCTTTTATTCGTTTACAGCGACTAGGGATTTGAATGTTTTAACAGAGATGCACATTCTATTTCATCATAAAACTCTTCTGAAGATTTGCCAAAAAGCAAATATGTTCTATAATACATAAATGTCCTTTAAAGTTTCCCAGAAATCGGCAAACTCTTGAAATCTTTTAACCTACAAGAATCAGACTAACCTGATTCTATAAACACTGGAACTTTGTCTTATTTATTGCTCATTACAATAACAGGATTCAGGAAGACTTTGTTGTAACTAAAGTACAACCAGAAAGGCTGAAATAACTTCATGGGTCAGCCTCCCATGGTGATTGACAAGGCAGTCTCTCCTGCCTGCACTTCAACATTAAGACTCTGAGCCACTTCCAGCCTATTGAATATCTTCAGAATTGTCTTAGAAACCACTTTTCTCAGGCTGCATCATTTTTTAAGTAGAAAAAATACATATTTGTCAGCATTTAAACTCTACTTATTCAAGTAAGGGAGAGTTGCCACATAAAAATTCCAGGCATTTCCATGTTTTCTACATGGTGTATAACTTTTTATAATGTGTTAATTAAAAAACATTATGAGTCCTGTTAAATATTGTGTTGAACAAGAACAATTTCTCCATGCATAGTGGATTGGGTTAATTAGCACAAAATGCTTTTTACTAAGCGCTACATGATCTAAGGATCAACCACTCAGTTGCTAAGATCCAGTATATATCTGTGCTGAAGTGTTTTTGTTTTGGTCACACACAAAACCTTTATACGAGTACTTGCTTTGGCAGCACATATACTAAAATTGGAAGGATACAGAGATTAGTATGGCCCCTGTGCAAAGATGACGTGCAAATTCATGAAGCATTCCATATTTTTTTACCAGTTAATAAAAAAGATGAATATGTTTTTTATCTTCACTTTCCCAAAACATTAAAATATATTTTTCAAAAGCAAATCCCCTCCCAATTTTTTATGATTCTGGGATTTCATAAATAAAAGCCAGAGATATTACCTTTAACCATGAATCAAATTAATACTTATCCCAAAATATTAAGAATTATTATTAACATGTGTGTTGTGTTGCGTGTGCTGGGGACCAAACCCTGGTCCTTGCACATGCTAAGCAAGCACAGTATACCACTGAGCTATACTGTCGGCTCCAAGACCTTTTTTTTTTTTTTTTTCTTTTTTGTAGTTGTAGATGGACAGCATGCCTTTATTTTGTTTCATTTTCATGTGGTGCTAAAGATCAAACCCAGTGCCTCACACATGCTAGGCAAGTGCTCTGCCACTGAGCTACAGCCTCAGTCCCAGCCCCAAGACCATTTTTAAGTAACTATTTCAAAAGCTGCTGTTTCTACCAGCTATTTGGAGAACTGAAGGCAAAACATTCCAGTTATCTGTTTTGTCTTTATAGCATTCATGAGAGAAAGATATTGAATTATCTGGTTTTTTCTAATGGTGGCAATGTGGGGAAATTCCATTTAAAAAAAATTAACTGGCTTTGGCATAGAAGAAAATTAAAAGGAAACTACCTTTCTGATGTTGTAAATCCTTCCTAATTACAAAGATACTAACAGTAAACATTCACTTGGTTCTTAAAAGAGGCCTAAGATAAAATAAACATTACTTCCTGTACCTTTTTTTAAAAAACTTAAAAATTTTGGGTACTCTGAGTTGCTAAGGAGTACACATGGAGGGATTACAAGTAAATTTCTTCTGTGTATTTTCCAAAGCTTATATAATAAACTTTAAGACGAAGGGGAAAGTAAGGACGATATTCATTAAACCAACTGAATTTCCTCTTAACTCATCTTCTGAATCCCATCATGACATGCACAGAAATAGGCAGCAAGTTTTGCCATAAGAGAACAAGAATAGCGGCATGTATTTGACAGGTCTTTTTGACCTCAGGTCTTCTGTAAATCATTTGATGAATACTTAGCCCTCAGAACAAAGTAATAGAACTAGCTTTGGACTCTAGCTACTATTTATCCATTCATTAGGCTGTTACAGGAAGAGCCCCCAAGGACCCCAAGCATCAAACTAGCACTAGATGACAGTTTGTCAGTCTAACATGGCCTGTTAGGCAAGAAAGGCCCAGTACCGAGGAGCAGGATTTCTAAGGTCCTGGGTGAGTGATAGCAGCCAGTGGCAGGAAAGGCTGGCCTCGTACAGTCTCCAAGCGTGTAGAGAAGCACATTATTTTTGTTTAAAACATGCTGCTTATAGGGGAATAGAGGAATTAAGAGGACTTCTGTTTTACAAGTATTTGGGTAAAGGGAACTTGTAGGTAAAGTGCTGGGTTTAACCCAATGAGAATGTCTGATGACCACCAAGAGCAATTTTGGAAATGTAGTCATTTCCAAGTTGATGTTTTGATGCAGAGAGCTGACTTTCCTTGTGTTTTTGCAGGTACAAAGGGGTCAGTATGGAGTTCAAAGGACAGAACTCTTGCCTGGTGACCGGGACAACCTGGCCATTCAGACCCGGGGTGGCCCAGAAAAGCATGAAGTAACTGGCTGGGTGCTGGTGAGTACCAAGAACTGGCAAGAATTTTGTTCTTAGGATTCGACACTCAGCCCTGGTAAAGGTAACCAATGTCCTGCCAGCCTAAAAAGTACTTCCTCTTCCACATCTCTGGAACAGCCTGACCAAGGAGTCGGTCATTGGTCCCATTTCAAAGGGAACTAAATAAAAGAAGAGTTGAAGTTGACTGGATGTTTTAGAAACAACCAATGAATTAATGAGAACTCAAAAAAATTTTTCCTAAAAGTTCAAAGCAAAATTCTTATGGGAAACTAAATGACCCAAGCATTATTTTAATTGAATAGTGACTAATGAATATTTTACTTTACATTTGATATTCAGATACTACTTAGAAATATCAAGGTTTCCCTAACATTGGTATGTGCACCTGTCTAGTTTTTAACTTCAACAATATTTCAAAAGTTGCCCATGACATTTCCTCAGAGTATGAATCCTCTCAACAGACCATAAGTCTTCCAGCACAGGACTTGCACTACTTATAATAGTATCTTTACTAAAATTCTTTGGTCATCTTAGGAAACTATGATATAATGGAAGCTACTAAAAGGAAAAAAAAAAAAAAGACCACCACAGAATAACTGAAGATCCTTTTTCTCCCCACAGGTATCTCCCCTAAGTAAGGAAGATGCTGGAGAATATGAGTGCCATGCATCCAATTCCCAAGGACAGGCTTCTGCATCAGCAAAAATTACAGTGGTTGATGCTTTACATGAAATACCAGTGAAAAAAGGTATGTAATCAATCTCACAGCCACTTGAAAGAATAACTAGTGATTTGCTTAATAAACAGAACCAAGAATCAAAGCATCAAACATATCATTAGGGGGCTGGGACTATAGCTCAAGGGAAAGTGTTTGCCTCACAAGTGTGAGGCACTGGGTTGGATCCTAGGCAGCACATAAAAATAAAGATACTATGTGTTCATCTACAACTAAATAAATATTTTTTTAAAAAAACTATTAACAAAAATTCAGTAAAGTCAGGAATCCCCAAGGGTAGAATACATGGTTCCAAAAGAGTATTTGGATGGTTGATGAAGGCCAATATTATGACTTAGAAGCTTTCACCTTATCTTCAAGTAGAGTCAAAACCTGACTGGAATTGCTTGTATTTCCCATAATCTTTTCTATCCACATGGCATTTATTTTTTAATGAGCTGGACCACGAAGCTAAGTTCCTTAACCTTGTTGGACCTCAACATGGTGTTTGTGAAATGTGCTCTTCCAGGCCTATAATAAGGTCCTCTTTTGTACATGGATCAATACAGCAGAACTGCCTTCCACATCTAACGTTGTATAGCTAAAATTCCCAGGAGGACCTCAGCATATCATTTATACTATTACCCAATATATCCCTTATCCCAAGGTTTTTGTTTTGTTTCTTAAGAGATGGAGTCTTGCTATGTTGCCCAGGCTGGCCTTGAACTCCAGATTCAAGAGACCTTCCTGCAAAAGCCTCCAAAGTAACTGGGACAAAAAGTGCAAATCACCATGCCTAACCCTTTATTTATGCATTTTAGCACCTTTATTTATTTGGAAACACTGAACTAAATGCTAATTAGAAAGTCAACCATGTCAATACATGCAACTAATTTTTATCTTTTTATCTTTTTAACAGGTGAAGGTGCTGAACTATAAACCTAAAAAAAATATTACTCAACAAGAGCTAAAAGTAGTCACAAATAACTACAACCCTGTTCTTGCCTAGTAACAAGTTTCTCTAATCCAATTCACTAATGCTTTAGTTATAGTCACTTGTTTTAACACAGGATACCAATTAAAGACAACACATCAAGACTATCTACAAAACTTTATTGTCTATTTACAGAAGAAAATCATGCATATCATTAAACAAAACAAATAAAATGCTTTCTATCGCAACTCAATACATTGTCATTTTTTAAAGCCATATCATAGAAGTAAAACAGGGTTTTTTTTGTTGTTGTTTTTTGTACTGTGGATAAAACCCAGGGGTGCTCCAACATTGAGTTACATCCTTAGTCTTTTTATTCATTTATTTATTTGTAGATAGATATGGTCTAACTAAATTGTTGAGGCTGGCCTTGAACTTGCCATCCTCCTGCCTCAGCCTCCCACATTGCTGTGATTACAGTCCTGCACCACTGTGCCCAGCAAGACATGGACATTTACAACAAAGTGGTTGAGAATCCTTTAAAAGATTTAAACACTCATCATTCGAGGTGCAATACTCATAGACATAAGTTCCTGAAACAACAGCTTGCAAGCATAAGGCATTCGCACCAAAGAAATCTGAAAAGAAAAAATAAATAGTAATTAGCAGACTATATGCAAGTGACCCCATTTCTCTACCCGAGAAACAGGTTAAGGATTTGGTACTGTAGATGGCAAGTGAATGAGCAGCACTGAAATGACCACCTATCCTGCCACCTTGCTTCATGGTGCTCCTTCCTCCTAGCAGGCTGTTTTGTTTCTTGCTATGTTGCCCAGGCTGGCCTTGAACTGTGTTGTTTTGTAGCTTTTTTGCCAGGCACAATTTGTATTCACCTCCTCGATCGGTTTAAGAAAAATTGTTTAAAATTGTTTAAAATTCCTATGCAACGCCTTATTATTTCAAAGACATGAACAACTTGGATAGATTATCAAACTTCAGCTGACTTGGAAAAATCTAAATATTTTCCTTCTAAAACTAGGCATCTCTCATTCTGCTATCATGTATATCTAATTGGAACAAATGAAAAAAAAAAAAAAAAAAAACTAGGCATCTCACAGAGGTATGTTACCAAAATTGTGAAAAGGACAATCTGTCCCACCACACTCAATCTGCCTGGATAAACAGCCTGACATGATTATATCCTTAAAAAAATGATCAGGGGCTGGGGTTGTAGCTCAGCCATAGAGCGCTCGCCTAGCCCGTGTGAGGCCCTGGGTTCAATCCTCTGCACCACATAAAAATAAAAAAAAAATAAGGTATTGTGTCCACCTACAATTAAAAATTTTGTTTAAAAAAAGCCCACAGTCTGAGTTCCTTTCCTTAAAAAGAAAAAAAGATCAAGTCTATACACACCTGGGTTTTATTGCGACAGCCCCTGCATTCATATGTATGGGTCCTGGTGTTAGCAATTGCCATTATTCCACAAAGATTGCAAACATGAACTTGATATGGATCTGATGCCTCAAACAATCTTTCTCTTAAAAACTGGGCGGCACCATGGGCAATCTGACAATCTCGTTCCATTTCTCCAAAACGCAGGCCACCATCACTATTGAGGGGAAAACATCAGATTATTTTGTGCTTATCTTAAATTATAAACACCACCTTGACTAACAGCAAAGGTTAAGAATGATA